CATATTATTCTGTTATAAATAATTAACTTTAACATATAAAAATAAATTAATAAATTTAAAACTACAAAAATTACAAAAACAACTATAAGAACAAAATATATGACAGAATTAAATAATATGAACAGTAAATATGAACAGTAAATAAAAGAAACATACAATATTACATATTGTATATTTTCGTAGTGCGTCATATATTTAAAATGTTTACGTTAAAAATATAAAATATTTATATTTTAAAGAATATACAATAAATTCATCGTTATTATGAATTTTTTTCTCTGGAACATACATAATATTAATATAATAGGAAAATATGCATCTAAAATTGTTTTCAATTGCGAGTATTCAATATCAAATGGCACAAAGTTTTTTATATGATACATTTCCAAGTATAAGATTAGATGAGAGGTACCGAATATCATTTGATTAATTTTTATTATATTTTTCATTTATATTGATTTGATACGTAAATAAACATTGAAAATTGTAACTTCTTGTTTCAGATATTTAATATTACATGTTTAACTTTTTACCAATAAAAAATTAATTTGTTCTAAGTCTTTTCGTAATTGCAAAATACGATTTAAACAACTGATTAACTAAATCATAATATTGAATAAACTAATATCATAGTTTAGTCGAATTCGCCTTAATTTTGCTTCCGCAGCATTGCTCCGGATATATTAATAGTAATTTCCAAGTATTTCATTTTTGTTGCATGCTTATAATGCTATGCGCAACATATCGAATGCACACATCAGCGTAGGAAGGCGAAACCTTGAAATTCAAGACCTTGCAAACGCTCTAATGCTTTCATTTGCTATTAAATGGTTATCTATTGTCGACTTCTTTAAAAGATAGTATTCTATATAAATATCGTAAAACTTATGTAGTTTTTAGAAAAAAATATCTGTAATGGAAATAAATATCTGTAGCATTTTATTCTAAGAAACGTATTGCAGACTTTGTAAAATAGAAAATTCATGTCTAATTGTAATTATCTCTATTTTTTGAAGAATTTAATAAAGTAAAGTTAATGTTTTTAAAAGTAAATATTTAAAGATTTATAAAGAATTTATACTACATCATTTATTTATAAAAGAATTATTATTCATAAAAAATATTCGTTTATTAAAAAGTTAATATCAAATAATGTTGCTCTCGTCCCACATCTATCATCACAAGTGATATTGCTTATAATTTATAATAATACTATTTATAATCGATATAAATAACATGATTATTATTTATAATTTATACATGTAACTATATAATTATTCATGGTCATTTTTTTACGTTGCCAATACTTTAAATCAGTTAGCTAACAATGCTTTAAAAAGCTAAGAGTTTCGTCATGATGTAAAGAAGAGCATGATTTGCAAATTTCATACATGATGACGAATCATGCTGGAACTAATTAACGTTGGTTAACACTTGCAATATACGTTACATCATCTGATTGTAATGAATGGCTATAATATACTGATCATAAACACATACTATCTAATTACGCTGTTCACATTGTGTTTAAATATATATATGTATATTTTTGCTTTTTTTATCTGTGATGCGTCTTCTTAGCGGCGAGACATTATCGTATCTCCTGATAACAATTGTAGCATGTAATAATGATAGATGATGATATATATCAATAAGACTGATGTTCTTACGGTTCTTGTGCCGTCGAACCTCAAATTGTTAATCGATAAAATTAATATATCAAAAATATTGATAGATTGAATTGCAAAATAAACCGCAACGTAATTAAGTTAACGAGTATTTAAACTTGCGAGGCTTGTCAGAACTCTGTCCAAGTAAGATCAATTTATTAACAATACTTTCTCGTATAAGTCTACGTAATTTTATGAATAGATGTATTTATTACAAACATAATTATTCGCATTTCGATATTAAAATAATTAATTTATGATAATAAATTAAGCGTAATGATAATATGGAAAGCAAAAGCAATTAAGTGATCATAAAAGTCGATTCAGCAGAGTAAAATAGATCGAAGTAAATTAGATTAATTTTTATTGATTGAAAAAAATAATCAAAAACAAATTTTGATATTAAGTTTTATTATAAATTCTTAATTTTTACAACATTTAGGTGATATACTCATATAAATGGTTTTGTTTCTAATTTTATTATTGTTAATTTTTATAACTTTTGCTAGGTTTCATAACAAAATAGAATATAAATACGGTTTTCTTATTGCAAAAAAAAATAAAAAAAGGAAATTATCTTTATTTTGAAATTGAAAAGCAAACCAAATCGAAGCAAATCAATTAACTAGATTAACTGATTTAGCAAATTATACATCATTATATATAATTGCAAATTATTTATGCAAATTATACATAAAAATTATTATAATTTGCATAGTTTCTTTTATAACTTTTTCGTTACAAAGTTATAAAAATTATAATTTTTTTTTTTTTAAATCGTGCAGATTTTATGTAAGAGAAAACATTCTTCATTCAATATCTATGCTTATATCATCGACTGACATTGAATCACATGCAATACAAAACTGTTGTTTATTGTTTTCTGATGCAAGAGGAAGCGCGGAAATAACTCGTATAATACAATAGCTTATTTGAAACAAACAAGACTACTAGTAAGTATGAGAATTCTCAATGATAATTGATCTCACTCTTGTATGTGTGCAATACAGAACTATTCCTTGTTACACAGGCACTTCGCAAACTATTTATATAGCTCCGACAAACAAGTTGATTAGACAGTCTGTCATAATCTCGCTACTCATCTCCAGAGAATACAATCTGCAGGTTCGATTTGATGTGATTTTTCATTTTCATCTCTCTTTATCTGTCATAAATAATTTACCAAAACCGCTGAAGTGATAAGACTTGAAAGATTGCGAATAATTGTGATTCACAGTGTGTGATATTGACTTTTATAATTTTTGGAATTCGAGTGTATGAATCGTACTTCATTACGCGATAATTTATGAACCTAGAAACTTATTGAATCATTTTCCACATCTGCCCAGTGCATAATTAAATTTGTGAAGTCACGGTCCACTGGTTCACGTTATAGCTTGTGGCCTATTGATACAAGTTTTTTTTTTACTAATTAATTAACGCAAATAATGTGCCGTAAATTAGATTTATTTGAGACAATGTTGCCTGATTGTGTCTAATATTTTGATTACTCTTCTTCGTTTCTTTCTGTTTTTCAGTTATATTCGCATAATTAGTTACTTTTTTAAATACAAAAAAAATGTGGCGCGTATCGTCGTCATTTCATTAATAGCATGCGTCTCCGCAGATTTTAAAATGCCTATCGATCTTTACCAACTCACCGGAAGTCCGCCATGTCGGGCCGTTCTCTTAACGGCGGCAGCTGTAGGAGTTGATTTAAATATGAAAAATGTAGATCTCTCTGCCGGCGAACATCTAAAACCCGAATTTATTAAGGTGACTTATAATAAAATTTTTTTAATGAAACATTTAAGAATATAAATACAAGTGAATTCTTAAATTAAATTTTTTTATGTTGTAACTCTTTAAATTTTTTGAAATGGATTCTCATTTTAAAGAAAATTAAACCAATTTTTTTTAAAGTCTGGTTCAATTTTCAATCTGTAAGAATGAGATTTCACTCTTTAGAGTGAGCTTTCACTCTATAAAAGTTATAGGACATGCAATAAAAACTCCGAGAATTTATTTAAAAAAAAAAAATTAAAAAGGAAGAGAAAAAATAGAGTTAAACAGTTTCGTATAGATTTATGTACAGAGGCGAACGCACTCTAATTGTTATTTTGTTATATATTTTTATTTTATATATATATATATATATAATAGATGAACCCACAACATACAGTACCTACATTGGATGATGATGGCTTATATTTATGTGAAAGGTGTTTATCTCTTAATCTTCTTATATTAAAATTTAGTGAATATCACAAGTCTAATTTTTACACACATATAAAATAAATATATTTTTCTGTATCTAACTGTCTTTATCATATATTTTTGTTTAAATTCTTTAGTAAAGTCAATATTATTTATTTATTATTATAATAAATTATTTATGCTTGCAGCCGCGCAATTATGACTTATCTAGTCAATCAATATGGCAAGAACGATTCTCTGTATCCAAATGATCCGAAAAAACGAGCCATGGTGGATCAAAAACTTTACTTCGATATGGGAACTCTGTATCGATCGTTTGCTGATTATTATGTAAGTTCTTGGAACGTATAATACTTCATAAATCATATTTAATATCTAAGATTGATAGAAATGATACACATATATAATGTATGTACATACATTAATCGCAGTATCCAATAATATTCACCGGCATCACTCCGGAGCAAGCAAAATATGATAAACTGCACGAAGCCTTGTCTCTCTTGGATAAATTCCTAGAAGGGGAAAATTATGTAGCAGGAAAAACTCTAACTCTCGCTGATATTATCTTGGTCGTCTCCGTTTCTAATTTTCCGGTAAGTAACTATATAGTTTTATACAAACACACACTACTCATTCATTAAAACATTTATTAAGTCGATAAAATAGCGTAGAGAAAAAAGCATGTCTATAAATTTAGACATAAAAAAGCATCTCTTGTTTCTAAATTAAATATTAGTTTTATTATTATTTATAATTTATTATTATTTTTTTTTAATACTAATTTTGAGTAAAACTTTATTGTAAATTTATAACACTTCGCTATATATAAACAAGTGCGTATTTTGACAAACAAAATCAAAAACATAAATTTTAACAAAGACACAATTTTGAAAGAAAGTTATAACAAAATAACATCAAATTAGCAATTTAATATTTTTTTTTGCAGCTTGTAGATTATGACTTGAGTAAATATAGCAACATTCTGAAATGGTTTATTAAGATCCAAGCTGAAATTCCTAATTACAGTGAACTCGAAAGCGTTGGTATGAAGGCATTTGCAGACTTCGTCGAACACTATAAAAAAAAGACTTAATTTCGTCGCATAGATTGAATAGCTGTACAATGCATTGATACTGTATTATTTTTACAGTATTTTTTCTTCTAGAATTATTACGTCTTATAGATTTTGACTTTGTACAAATAAATTATGATTGTTAAACAGATTAAAAGAGTGCTAATTTTGAGATATATATATAGTATTAATGAGAATTAAAAATTAAAGATGATAGAATTAAAAATCTGAATTTTTAATGGAAACAAGTTAAAATTAAAAAGTTACTCAGTTATTAATATTTAATCTTAACACATAAATAAATCGATAAACTTGAAACTACGATATAAGTTTCTAATTAAAAAGAAAATATATTAAATTAAAAGAATGAAAGTAAGAATACGAACAAATAAAAAAGTGATGCCGATAAATATAATATAAAATAAAAATAATAAGTCATAATCTACTGTAACATAAATAGTCACAGTATCAATTTAAAAACATATCTTTTGATTATATAGTTTTAAATTGTACTATATGTAATTCCTATAATTTCTTATTGTTTCCGTATGTTGAAAATTTAAAGCGTCAAAAATGAGTAACATGCCGACTGATGGCAATCGCGATTTTTATATGACTAAAATTCTATCCAGACAACATAACATCTAAAAGATGTCATAAGATATCATAAAGACATTTTTTAGGACGTACATTGGGACCAAAAAATTATATTTAAAAAGCATTTTAAAGATATCTTCTAGATATTGCATGTTGCCTAGGTAACTCTCTCTCTCTTAAAATTCACATTCAACATATCATCTCATTATATCGTACGTCGGGTAATGATCTTCTGAAGATTATACAAAGTATAAAATATTGAAACCCGTTTCTACCTACAATATCTTGTTATTCTATTTAATTGTTTACATATTTTTCTCAGTAAATTTTGATGTAATATTGATATAAATTAATTTGATCCTTAGAATATCAAATGCAACATTGTTTTAATAATTATTAATTTTTATTTGTTATATATAT